TTTCGCTCTCCCGAGAAAAAGGGAGAGCTTTTGGGACTCTACTCCTATCCAGGAATACTCACCTCGACCCCTTCTCCCGGGGCACAAGGTTCCAAGCCGCTGAACAGCTGCTGACCGCTGTTCATGCTGGCTCTGACGCCTTCCCAAGCGGACGGCTCCGAAAAGAGCCGCCATCGGCGCGCCGTCCCACCGGAAGTCAGCCCTTCACAATTTTCAATACTGTTAGCATGGAACACGAAGTGTGATATCCTTGTCTCAAAGTTTCAGAAAGCAAACATCCTGTAGCATTTACATTTTTTATATTCATATATCCACCAATTAGCAATGATTGGTGCTGATCTGTCTACATAATATACTTGTTAACTTGATGGCATTTCTTGTAGGCTTTCCTTGCTTTCAAGGAATTACAACTTTTTGATCCCATGTTATCAACAAGTCCCACTTTTTGACAGCCATTAAAAGTCATGCTGCCAAATCTTGGTGGACAATACAAAAAAAATTAAATATATAATTTTCTAGTAAAATAATTAGTTGAGTCCATCATTACTTTAAATGTAAACATACTAAAATATATTCTCAGTTCCAAAAATGTAATAAATCTGTACCACAAATAATAAATCCTAATTTGGGATTCCCTTCTTTTGCAAATCCACAATGATTGTATATGATCTGTGGCTATGAAATGTTTATTGTGGTCTCTCATTTGTCTTTTTTCTCCTTTAAACCAGTATTGATAATTGCATTCATTAATACATGGCTGTTTCTATACAATGCAAATTCAGCCAAATATGAGCAACTACAGGCTGCAAACTGTGGAATCTTTGGTGTTCTCTGAGCTTGGTTGTTTGCTTGCAAACATTTCATTTCTCAACTAGGTAACATCATCAGTGCTAGTGAGGGAGGGGTTTATTCCCTGTTTATATACAATTGTTTGCCCTGCCAGTGTTGGTAGAGTGTGATAGTTCCTTGATTAGGATATTGTTTTCTGCTTGAGTGTTGTGTGATGTTAAACCCTATTTGTCTGGAGGGAAAGGGGCTATTCTGGTCTTTTTGTTTCCTTCTTAGCTTTTTTTTTATTCTCTCTTTTGAATTGTGTGAAATGTGGTTTATCTCTATGTCTATTAATGGCTGATTTGTCGTATGCTAATCTTCCAGGAATTCCCTAGCATTTTTTTGGATTTAGTTTTTCTAGGTGGCTCACAGTTTATCACAGTTTCAAACAACTGAGCAGAAAACAATATCCAGATCAAGGGACCACCAAGCAAAAAACCTCACTCCCAACAATACTGGCAGGGCAAGCTGCTATACATAAACAGGGAGCAACTCCACACTTACTAGCAGAGAGGTTATTACTTAGTAGGTAATGAAGCATTTGCAAGGAAACTACCAACTCAAAGAGCACCAAGGATAGCACAGTTCAACCCTGATCTACAGATATTCTCTTCTGTTGGGACTGCAAATTATATGCAGCCCCACAGTTACCAAGATCAGCTGCTAAAATTCAGGATAAATATACCAAGATGGTACATATATTGTTGTAATGTATATATTAGTGTTTTAAATCTGCAGTAGATTTAACAATATGTATTTATTAACACCTCTAAAGTTCCAAAACAAGCAAATAAAAACTCTCTTTAAAATTTTTAGAAACCCCTCCACCTCTCCCTGCAGCCTCATAAAGATTGAACACTTGAGGTCCAACTTCATGTAAGCAGAGAAGGGAAAAGAGTAGTAAAGCTCTTTAATGCTCTTGGATACTAGCTATAGAGATGGTATTCAAATATGGCTACTGAAATATCCAAAAATGCATTTTTTCATTTTCAAAAGCAATAGCTTCTGTACTTCTTTTATGAGACGTTGTAATATCATAAAAGGGAATGGTTCCTGCCATCAGATTCGTGTTGCAAAAATCCCAAAGATATTATTAAAGTAATATCTTAACAGGATACCATAAAATATACCATTGACTTGACTCAGTCTGGCACATTTTATGCTCTTATTTGTAGTAGTAGTCACCTGGGGACATTTGTTGAAAGGAAAATCTTTTTAAAAGCAATATTGCTGAAAACTAAATTCAGGGTGTCTTCTGGTTAACTAATCAAAATTCTCTACTTTAGAAAAAGACATAAGGCACATAAAGAGGTTTTCCCCACTTTAAGTGTCATGCTTCCTTTGTGACTGTGCTGTGAAGTTTATTTAGATTTTTTTCTGTTTTAATATTTTTTTAACATCCTACTTTTGAAGTGAGTGGCAGATTTTGGCTAATGCTTCTTTGTGTTTCTTTTTTCTTTTCTTTTTTTGCAGTTTGTTGCTCATCCAAACTGCCAGCAGCAGCTTCTCTCAATCTGGTATGAGAATCTGTCGGGTTTACGACAACAGACTATGGCAGTGAAGTTTTTAGTGGTTCTTGCTGTAGCTGTTGGATTACCATTCCTTTCAGTGGCTTATTGGATTGCTCCATGTAGCAAGGTACGGGTTGGTGCTCAGATTGGCCTTACTTTTTAATAACTTTGGGGCTTGGTTTGCACGTAGGAAAGAATAAATGATGTAATGGAATGTGTGGATGACCTTGGAGATGAAGGCCACAGATGCTGTCAGGGAAGCCATTAGAGAAGAAAACCAAGGACCCCCTAGTAGGCAACCTCGGCTCTTTTATGACTCATGGACTTCAACTCCCAGAATTCCTGAGTCAGCTATGCTGACTCAGGAATTCTGGGAGTTGAAGTCCATGAGTCATAAAAGAGCCGAGGTTGCCTACCCCTGCACTAGTGTCTCAACCGTCAGAGAAAGAATCTTAGCAAGGATTTGTTTTAATGGATTAGACAATTAAAAGTAGCAATGAGAAGTTTGTATCTTCAGACTTGCAAAATTCTGTTAACTCAGTCTTACAATAAAGTAGAATTAGCTCATCTAGTTGTTTTTCCTGTCTGATTTATCTGAGACCATTGATAGATGTAAACACAGAGGCCTGGTTTTTTTTGGATCAGTATCAGCTGCACTAAAATGAATCACATATACTCCAAAACTGGGAAACTGTAAGTTATAGCTAAATGTTTTCAAGGGAAAAAACAAAACAAGAAAGTCCAGTTCCCTTTTGGAAAAACACCTTGGGTCTTGCTTTGAGTTTGTACAGTAGTTCTTTCATTGTGACCAGAAGATTGCAGCAGCCCACTTCCAAAGTTAAAATATTTCGAATCTGGAACAATTTACTCACGCCTACTTTAAGCCATGAACTGGTCATACTTGAGCACATTAAATACATGTAAAGGACTTAACTTATAGGCACTCATTTTGATTGGAAGGAAGCTGTTGAAGGACAATCAATCTCAGATTGCTCGAAATCAAACAGATATGACATTTTATATAAAGACCGCAAGCAGATTTGCTCATGCGGTATATCACAATTGTGTTTAAACTAAAGATACAAAAGAGTTGGTGGTCAATATGATTAAATTTTGATTGGTCTTTATGATAAAATTCAGTTTATCAGGCCCAAGAATTCAGCCCAAGATCTTCCATGTGCAATCCCTATGCTTTGCTACTAGACTATTTGTGATTATATAAACTTCCATGCGTAAGTTTCAAATGAATAAAAATGAATGACATTTCCCATGCTGATAAAGTTAGTCAGGACAGGGGGAGAAGAAAAAGTTATTTCTCATACTAATAATGATGATTATCTAATGAGTGAACAGATGTAGACTATTAAAAAAGCAAGCTTCCAGGCACTGGCATAAAAACTGGTCCCTGCAGTTTTCTTGGCAAGATCTCAGAAGTGGTCTGGAGGAGCGTGCCTGGCTTCTGGTTTCCAGCCTGGTGCCTTAACAATTATCAAACTTTCTGCCTGTCTGTCTCTGTCTGTATTTGTGTATTTCCTATTAAAAAAACCCTTATTTTAACATAAATATTGTGGTTACTGAAGTATAGCATATTAGCTGGACAGAGCCATTCGCAGATTTCTTCATTTACATCAGGGGTAGTCAACCTTGGCTCTTTTATGACTCATGGACTTCAATTCCCAGAATTCTGGCTCAGGAATTCTGGGAGTTGAAGTCCACCAGTCATAAAAGAGCCAAGGTTGACTACCCCTGATTTACATGATTGAAACTAATATTTGAATCTGGAATACCTTTCTGCCATCAATCATCCCTTCTAGTTAACAATGATTCCTATCTTACGTATTGATCAGAGGACACTTAATCCAATCTTTCATATATTTGAACTGCTTGAAGGAGTAGGTTTGCAGCAATTTCCTAATTAATAGACGTTCCAGCAGAATTTAGGATATTTCAGCTCAGTCATGGATGGGATTATCACAATTTCCCATTGTAAGATTTTCTTTATAAGCACTTTTTGAGATTTACTACAGTGGGTTAAAGATATGGAGCTATGGGTCAATTTCCTGTCTAAATTTCCTTTTTTTAAAAAAAACAACAACCATGCATATTCATAATTTTTCCTTTATGAACCATAAAGGGGTGTTTCTGGGTTTTTGCAGTGCGAGTTACATTGGGAAAATGTTGCAGAATGGAAAGAATTAATTTCTAACTATAACCACATATACCACTGTGAGGTTTGCTCTCCCTGATTTCATGTTGTCATCTGTTCATGCAAAGCAGTTTTATTTCCTTGCACCCACCCATGAAGGATATATAGGGGCAACATATTGTCTACTTTAGAAATGTGATGACTTACATCTCTGAAAAAACACGATACAGTAAATATACTTAAGGTGCCACAATGCTCTCTCAGTTGTTTTAAATCAGAGGTCTTCAAACTCGGCCCTTTTATGACTCCTGGACTTCAACTCCCAGAATTCCTCAGCCAGGCATGCTAGCTGAGGAATTCTGGGAGTTGAAGTAAAGGAGTCATAAAAGGGCCAAGTTTGAAGACCCCTGTTTTAAATCATGATGCATCTGGGTGTGTTAGATTATAATTCCCATAATCCCATTAAAAAACTTTTTCCCACCCAACCCTCTGGCTATAGTGGTTGATAGAAGGTGGATATTGTAATCCAATGTATCAAAAAAATATCATGTAGTGATATTTACTAAAGGTGATGCAAATTAATCCTTCTCTAGCTATTCTGCTATTACCTTGTTTACTTTGATAATTCTTTCCCATATTGATGCTTCATTCCCCCTGATTTACTTTTGCCTTCAAATTTATACAGATTTAAATATAGATACAATCAATTTAAAAGACTATAGCCAAGTTTTTTGTTGATCATTTATAAAGTGCAGTTTAATCATCAAAGTCTTTAACTGTCCTTTTAGAAGCTTTAACAAAATCTTTGCCAAGGTCATTAATAAGAGTGATTAGGAACTGTGGCCATCTGGCCATGGAAAAGAGCTGCTTATTTTTCAGAAGAAATGCAAAACCTATTTTAGGCAGCCTTCTGAGCAAACATAATTCTTATGAAATGCAGTGAGTCTTGCTTTGAAATAAATGCACAGTATTGGACTTAATGTGACTAGTTGGTTTGGGAAATTTATACATCAATTCCATACATTGCTTGCACCTACCCATGAAGGGGGAAACATTCACTGTGTACTTCAGAAATGTGATGACACACATCTCTGAAAGAGCATGCTATAGTAAATGTACTTAAGGTGCCATAATATTGTCTTGGTTGTTTTAGATCAGGGGTGTCAAACTGCCGGCCTGTGGGCCGGATGCATCATAGTGAAACCGCACCCACCCCATTGAGGGCAATGGGGAAAAAGTTGCAATACATCGCAACATGTCACTTGACGTTGTGAGTTTGACACCCCTGTTTTAGATCATGATACATCTAGATGTGCTATCCCACTCACACACACACACATAACAGTGGTTTAGTGGGTTTATTAATATTCCCCAGCAACTCCTTCACCAAAAACCCAGAACTGTCCCAATTAAATCCAGCCAAAAGCAGACCAATGCTAGTTCACAGAGCTATAGCCAATGAGTCCACAAGACACTTGAAAGTTTCCCAGACAAGATAAACCCTGGAAGCAAAATTAAATCCACAATACAAGAGGGCTTATGAGAAGTCCAGAGTTCACAAGGTACAATCCAAGTCAAGGCACAGTATCAGTTCAAAGTAAGGCAAGAATCACAAGAAGCAGAAAACACACAGCTAGGAAATGAGCACATTGTTACCAGCATCGCCTCTATCTGTCTGCTGTGCTAAATAGCCAGCTTCTGGTGCAGCCCATCAAGAAGGGCGACCCTGCCTCCTCACAAGTAATTGGGCTGACCTTTGCTGCTCCTGCCTTTTCTCTGCCCTAGTATTCTTGGACCAGGTGTAAAAGGCAAGTCCTCTTCCTCATCACTGACTGGCTGCAGTTGTGTTGCTTTCACCACCTGAAACCTCAGGGCTGTACTGCTGCAGCTGTGTTTCAGCCAAATCCCTCTCAGAGCTCGGAGCAATTGGAGCCATTGAACAACATCTCCTCCAAGCTGATATCTGGAGAGGTATCTGGGGAAGTGTCTGGGGGAGTCATCACACTAGGTGTGTTAGTTTGCAATTCCCATAATCCCAGTTAAGCAACTTCTCCCCATTGAACCCTATGGCTATGGGGATTGGTAGAAAATGGAAATTGTAATCTAGCATATACCAAAATATCGGGTAGTAGGTGACGATGCCCTTCAACAGTCCTCAATTTACAATGGTTCATTTAGTTTGAAGTTACAACAGCGTTGAAAAAAAGTGACTTATGACTGTTTTTCATACTAATGACCCTTGCAACATCCCCATGGTCACGTGTTCAAAATTCAAATGGTTAGCAACTGAATCATACTTAGGACGGTTGCAGTGTCCCAGGGTGATGTGATCCCTTTTGCATCCTTCTGACAAAGTCAATGGGGAAACCAGATTCACTTAACAACTATGTTACTAATTTAACAACTGCACTGATTCACTTAACAACCGTGGTAAGAAAGGTCATAAAAGGGGGCAAAACTCACTTAAGAAATGTCTCACTTAATTTTTGGGCTCAATTGTGGGTTGTAAGTAGAGGATTACCTGTATACTAAATATGGTTGCTAGCTATGACAGTGTGGCTTACAGTATCTCATCATTTTCCTCGTTGTGCTTACTCATTTCTGTTACTTTTCCCATTAACTACCTGTTTCCTCTAAATCTAATCTGAAAGAAGTTTTCTTTTTTTTACTCTTTTTGTAGTTGGGTAGAATAATGCGTGGACCCTTTATGAAATTTGTGGCACATGCAGCCTCTTTCACCATTTTCCTTGGGCTCCTAGTCATGAATGCAGCCGACAGATTTGATGGCATCAAACTAAAGCCTAATGAAACCGTGACAGATAGTGCAAAGCAGCTGTTTCGAATGAAAACATCTTGCTTCTCCTGGATGGAAATGCTGATCATCTCGTGGGTAATAGGTAAAAATATTTCTCAAAGTTCTGTTCTGCAACCATAGTAGAGATTACAGATGTTTAAAGATGCATTACAAATAGTCCTCAGTTCTGGGACCAGCACATCCATTGCTAAGTGAAATTCACAATTGCAATGCAATGGCAGTTCTGGCAGTCCCCAGTTACCATAGTTAAGCAAGGACTGTGCGGGTTGTTAAATGAGAACCTCATGTGATCACGACTTTCTTCCAGGTTCCCCATTGATTTTGCTTGCGGGAAGCCAGCAGGGAAGATCACAAATCATGATTAGCTTTGATGGTCAGAAATACAGGCCAGATGCCAAGTACCCTGGTCATCTTGTATCTGTTTGAGACGCTGTGCGAACTGATCATAGCTACCATTCATTCGGCATAATTACAAGTTTGAATGGTTGCTGCAGTATCACAATATTGAAATACAAACTAAAGGAATTTACAATTATGTATTAAAGTCCCAAACCAGGAAAAAGACCATGCATAGAATTCATTGCTTAGTCATCCAAGTACCATTTTTGGAGTTGGATTCATTAGAGCTGGACCAATTAAACTGAGCTCAATGTCCATATGTTATACATTCATCCCAGATAATACATTTCATAGGCGCATTAAAAAATAGCTTGCGGCTGACATGTTATTAATTCCATTGCAGTTTACATTTCACAATCCTAGGAGGAAGAATTCAAGTTTTAATATACTTCCTGACCATCTGCTTATTGTAGTTTAGCCGTATGCTTTGAAAAACAAGGTTATACGTTATCATGAAAGCACTACAGAACTATTCGTCTGTAGAATTAACAATATACATCAACTGAAAACAACATTATTTAGTTTCTGGCTATAGTATCTATGTAAATATAGATACTATATATTTAAACATTTATAGTATTAAAACATTTATAGCAATGTTTTAAAAAAGAGTTTGTTGTTGACATGACATTAATAAGCATATGAAATACTTTTAGTGAATTCTAGAAAAAAGTTGTATGTAGCACGAGATAGAGTCAACTTGATGAAACCTGGCGTTCCAGATAATTAAGTACAATTCTTGAGAAAAGAATATAACATTAAATATTAACAAATATTAAATGTAATGAAAGTAAATAAATTAAGAACTTAAGGGTAAATGAATGAGTGGGATTCCATGAAATTGTTTCTTTTATTTCATAATTAATATTTTTTCATATATAAAAAACTGGGATGTGCACACTTTTATCCTAAAGTGCTCAAATGTGGCATACACAAAGTTATTCATAACGGAGGCCTGTTTTTTTCAGTCCTCTGTAGGACTATGAAAAATGATGTAGCTGCTTTAAGGAGTTGACTTGAGTAACTCTCACAACAGTCTGAAAAAAGTAGGGTTGCTTGAATGAATAGCAGAAAAGTACTTTGCTTGCTTGAGGTCTAAGGACTTGTTCGGAATCGTTTCAAAGCATACATAGACCCATGAAATGACAAGTCTGTTATACAGTAATATATGTTCATTGAAAATGCCAACTTGAACTCAAGGTACCAAATAACAGCTATACTTTAATACTTCCCAGTGCAGAAAGAGCTAAGACATAGCTTCTTCTTTATCTGTTTTTTTTTTCCTTTTGACAATTCTTTTGTTTGCAGCAAATCATAACGGTTCCACAAGGAACACAGTTCAAAGCAATTCTACCGTAGATTAAATATTCAGGTCTAATAAATCTCAACTGTGCTGAAAAGAGAAAGTTTGTGACTTTTGTAATAAAATAGAACTGACATTCAGATCTTGATCTATTCAGTCTGTTCTTTGTCTCACCCATTTCCCTCCCTTTTTTCCCCTTCCCTATATTACAACTCAACTAATTTGGCTGTTCTCAATAGACCCAATGTTTTATGGGTTCTGCATAAACAGTTGCACCTCCTTGCTTTCTGCATAAACAGTTTTATTTAGTTTTTTTGGGAGGGAGATGCACTAAGATTACACCATTAGAAAGTATTAGGAAGCCACATCATAAGGCCATAGAACAAAATAGGCCATACTAGGTAAATAATTGGTGAAGGAATACCTAGCTGTTTTGAATGAATCCCAGAGGGCTAAGGAACTGATGGATGTGATCTTAGAAGCTTTGACTGCTCTGTCAAATACAGTGGAAGTATTGGAAGGTTAGTGAAGAATGAATATTTTTCTAATCTTCAAAATAGGCAAGGTGGACTCAGGAAACTATAAACTGGTCAATCTCATACCTGACAAAATCCTAGAAAAAGATAAGCAAGCAGTACAAACACTTAGTATGAAATAAGGATATTGCTAGAAGCCAGTATAGGCTTGTTAAAAATATTAACCATGCCATACTAAATTTACTGCTTTGGGTTTTTTTGTTATTGTTGTTTTGTTTTTTGCTGGGAGAGACCACTAATCAGAAGATAGACACAAGGCTTAAAAGAATCTTGATAGAATTAACCATTGGGCCCTTTACATCAAAATTAAAACCAGTTGTGAAACAAATGTAGTGTTCAGGACTTACATAGGTACAAAATAGATTATGTTTGTCTCAGGAATAGTATTTGTGAGAAGGTTATGGGTAACCTGGTAGACCATAGGTTCAGCATCAGCCAGAATTGTGCTGCAGTTGTCAAAAGAATTAATGTAGTCTTGGGTTGTCCCCTAGGTGCGTTCCCAAAAGGCAACTGGGCTTTCTTGGTTTTTTTCTTTGAAAATGTTTAGCTTGTCATCCAAGAAGCTTCTTCAATTAATTGAAAATCAGTTCGTTGAACTGAAGAAGCTTCTTGAATGAGAAGCGAAACATTTTCACGGAAAAAAAAGACAAGAATGTCCAGCTGCCTTTTGGAAAAGCACCTCTGGGACAACTGTGACCAAGTTGATTGAGAATCTCCATAGCAGTCTTGAGTTGTATCAACAGAGGTAGAATGGTGTGACATACGGGGAAATGATAGTTCTGCTATATGCTAGTCAGATCACCCGTGTGTCCAGTTCCAGAATTCAAGCAAGATCTGGAACTTGAGGAACTGGAAAGAATGCAGAAAAAAACCAATTAATATGCTGATGGTTCTATGAAAAGTAATGAAAGGAACTCAGGTATGTTTGGCCTAAAGAAGAGAAGGTTAAGGAGAGAGATAATAACAGCTTTTAAATCCTTGAAGTCCTGTCACAGACTGCAGGTATTTGTTCTCTACAACTCCTAGAGATAGGACAATTAACTATGAATGAAGAGAAATTTTCTGACTGTGAGAACCATCAATACCTCTCACAATGACCATTCTGTGACCATTCAAAGTCGCAACAGCACTGAACATATGTTACTTATGCTCAGTCCTCAAACTTATGGCTATTGCAGGATCCCCACTGTTATGTGATCAAAATTTGGGTGCTTGTCAGCCGGTCTGCTGACAAGTACAGATCATGCTTCAATTACCACCCCCACCTGTCTATCCGACCCCATCTCTGCTCTTTTGACCGCTGTGCACCATGTTCAGAGTCTTTCTGAGGTAAGGAGAGGCATGAAGTCTGAAGCTAATATCCTATTTTCTTCTTCCTTCCTTTAGGTATGATATGGGCTGAATGTAAAGAAATTTGGTCCCAAGGTCCCAAGGAATACCTGTTTGAGTTGTGGAATATGCTAGATTTTGGTATGTTGGCTATTTTTGCAGCCTCATTCATTGCAAGGTTCATGGCCTTTTGGCATGCTTCTAGAGCCCAGAATATTGTTGACGCTGATACAGAGATGAAGGATTTGTCAACTGCAACACTGGATCCCAGCATAAAGTACTACACTTTGGGTGAGCAGCTCATATTTATATTATAGAGCTAAACTAATGTTTTAATTCCTTTCAAATATACATTCATATTATTCAGTCCTGAAGTACACCTTATATACTTACGTATAGGTCTTTTCAGAAATAAGCCAAGCCTCAATTTTTTAACCAAACTTAGCTTATCTTAGATATGGAACAGGATAGCACCACATAAATGTCATTTTCCTTCTAAAGTAAAAGAGGTTTACTGAATAGTCATGAAAGTAAATTAAGTGCTGTAAAGTAAATATTGGCTAGACATTATAACCAAGGAAATATTTCCAGGAAATATTCAGCAGTTTTTATAACATTTTTTTTCAAAATATGATGACACCTTCTGGATCTGATGAGACAGCGACTCTCAAAATTCTACCTTTCTTGTCCTCCTCTTTTTGGGAGTTGCAAAAATGCAATCCCAATTTACATTAAAAAGCAGCAGGTTATAAAAGGTCAGTTTAACTCTACTTATGAGATGCCATCATTTATTCACCAATTTTATCAGCCATCGTCTGCTGGAAAAGTGAATTGTTCATTGCACACCTTAATGTAACACAGGGGTGTCAAACTCAATTTCATTGAGGGCCGCATCAGCATTGTGGTTGCCCTCAGGGGGCCGGGTGGGTGTGGCCAGGGTGGGTACAGCCTACTGGGTGGGTGTGGATGGAGTGGGTGTGGCCTACTGGATGGGCGTGGCCAGCTCTACATTGTTCGCGTCAAGGGTGCCTGTGGGGGCCTGGGCAGGAGTGGGACAGATCTGAGGGTCTCTGGCAGAAGGGGGTGGGACCAGGGCAAGTGCCAAGGCATGGTCCACTGGAGGAGCCTCACTGTTCCTCTCAGGTCATGCGGGGGGGGGGAGCTTATGGAGCTAAGACTGAATGCATTTCAGCATAGATGGCCACCACAAAATTGTACATTGGCTCCCAGCTGGCCTGGGCCAGGGCCAAGGCAGCGGAGGCCGTTCGCTTACTGTTTCCAGGATGGCTTCGCGGGCCACATGAAACCACTTCGCGGGCCGCATCCTGCCCCCGGGCCTTGTGTTTGACATGTCTGATGTAACAGTATTGAAGCCAAGAGAAACACTTCTGAAGATTGTTGCATGAACTCACTTCTAGAACAAAGGAAGATCCTCTTGTTTCCTCAAGTGCTTTATTTTATGCAACAAGGTTAAATGACACCTAAGCTACAGGTAGGCCTTGACTAATGACCACAATTAAGTCCAAAATTTCTGTTGCTATATGAGACAGTTGTTAAGTAAGTTTTACCCCATTTTACGATTTTTCTTGCCACACTTGTTAAGTGAATCATTGCAGTTGTTAAGTTAGTCACATAGTTGTTAAGTGACTCTGGCTTCCCCATTGATCCTGGGACACTGCAACTGTCATAAATATGAGTCAATTGCCAAGCATCTGAATTTTGATCACGTGACCATGGAGATGCTGCAATGGTCATAAGTGTGAAAAATGGCCATAAGTTACGTTTTCGGTGCCATTTTAATTTCAAACAGTCACTAAAGGAACTGTTGTAAGTCGAGGACTACCTGTACTGTGTTTAGCCTAATGTTTTGAGCAGGCAAGTAGGAAGACTAAAGTGCAACGTATTAAACTAAAACTCTTGTATTTTTTTTTTTTAGCAAGAATAGACTGGGATCCATCTGACCCTCAAATCATATCTGAAGGCCTGTATGCAATTGCTGTGGTTTTAAGTTTCTCACGAATCGCCTATATTTTGCCAGCCAATGAAAGCTTTGGACCTTTGCAGATATCACTTGGTAGAACTGTGAAAGACATATTCAAGTTCATGGTCATATTTATCATGGTTTTTGTGGCCTTCATGATAGGAATGTTTAATCTCTATTCCTATTACTTGGGAGCAAAGCAGAATGAAGCATTTACTACGTAAGTTAAAGCTTGTGAATTCTATAAATGATCGTATTGGAAGACCCTTTTGTAACATATTTAGTGTAAGCAGAATGTATTTAACTCCTTTGTCATAGTTAGTAATGGTTGCTAACCCTGAAACATTTATTAGTTATACCGGTTTTTATGCTGTTAATATCAATGCCTTCAAATCTGTGAAATCAGATTAGTCAAACGTTTTCATGAATGGATTGAGGAAGGATTACTGCTTTTAATCAGTGTTATTTTTTTCATACTACTGTATCTTGTTTGAATGCCAGAAAATGGATTGATAAGATTCTTAGAGAAAGCAGAACTATGATGCCTGTACATTTTTGTAAGAAGAGATATTATACAAAAGAAAGTTTATGAAATATATTTCATATTCTTTACTTTGTGTACATTGAAAATTCAACATTCTGATGCAGATGTGTTGAGCATGCATTTAGTTTATTTGTTTATTTATTTGTATCCTGCCTTTATTATTTTTACAAACAACCCAAGGCGGTGAACATATCCAGCACATTTTCCTCCTCCTGCTTTCCCCACAACAATAACTTTGTGAGATGGGTTGGGCTGAGAGAGTGAGTGACTGGCCTCAAATCACCCAGCCAGCTTTCATGGCTAGGATGGGATTTGAGCTCACAGTCTCCTGCTTTCTAGCCTGGTGCCTTAACTACTATCTGTTACTATACATTACACCATGTATTACTTCATGTGTTACTAGTATAATACCCGTGTTTCCCTGAAAATAAGACTGGGTCTTTCTTTTTTTGCCTCCAAAAGAGGCACCAGGTCTTATTTTCGGGGGGTGTCTTTTATAGTCACCTCCAGCACAGACAGCCCCACCCAGCCGGTCCACTTCTTCTGTGGTCGAAGGAACAGCTTCATTTTGCAGCTGCATTCCAGCCTGAATTTTGCAGTCAGGCCTTTCCCGAAGGCATTTGCAGCTGAGTACGGAGCTATGGATTCAATCCATAGCTCGGTCCTCGGCTGCAGAGGTCTTGCAGAACCGAGCTATGGATTGAATTCGTAGCTCAGTTCTCAACTACAATGGCCTTATGGAAAGACCTGTGACTGAGAAATGCAGATCTGGCTGCAGAAGACCCCACAGAAGAAGTGGGCTAGCGAGGAGAGGCTGGCTGCCAGGTAAGTGGGTGTGGACGCGTGGGGCAGATCCACACCCACTACCCCCGCGCTAGCTTGATTTTTAGGTGTGTGCCTCGCCCCAAAACTAGGACTTAGCAACTCTTTCCCTGATGTATTGTTTTCTTTTCTCCATCCAGCGTTTTATGCTGACTAACCAACTTCAGTTCTTTTTTTTTTTTTTTTTTTCAATATAAAATTTTATTGTTTTTATCATAAAAAAGAAAGAAATACATCACAGATATTACACAATGTTATATCCCATCCCCCCACCCCCCGGACTTCCCAAACCAAACCTAGGCTAATATTCAAATACAAGTAAACAAATATTAATATCTCTAACTCCAAACTCTAAACTTAAACAATCCAT